TTTTTTTTTTTTTTTGAGACGGAGTTTCGCTCTTTACTCAGGCTGGAGTGCAATGGCGCGATCTCGGCTCACTGCAACCTCCGTCTCCTGGGTTCTTCAGGCAATTCTCCTGCCTCAGTCTCCTGAGTAGCTGGGATTACAGGCACATGCCACCATGCCCAGCTAATTTTTTGTATTTTTAGTAGAGACGGGGTTTCACCATGTTGACCAGGATGGTCTCGATCTCTTGACCTCGTGATCCACCCGCCTTGGCCTCCCAAAGTGCTGGGATTACAGGCATGAGCCACTGTGCCCGGCCAAATCCCGAGTTCTTTGCTGGCAGGGAGTCCTCTCTGTACATTGATAACTGCCAAAGTCCTTTAGCCAATAAATGTCTGTAGAATGGTGACTTGTCTCTAAACCTATCAGCTACCTAGCTTCCTCATATGTGAAAGGCAGCTCCTATATTCTCTAATCCAATAATTTATTTTAACCAAATTGGTCTTGCCACAATATCATCATGAGCAGTTTTGCTGTATTAGTCAAGACCTTTTGTCATCAAAAAATTATGGCCGGCCCCGGTGGCTCATGCCTATCATCCCAGCACTTTGAGAGGCTGAGGTAGGCAGATCACAAGGTCAGGAACTCAAGACCAGCCTGGCCAATATGGTGAAACCCAATCTCTACTAAAAACACAAAAATTAGTCAGGTGTGGTGGTAGGCGCCTATAGTCCCAGCTACTCGGGAGGCTGAGGCAGGAGAATTGCTTGAACCCGGGAAGTGGAGGTTGCAGTGAGCTGAGATCACACCACTGCACTCTAGCCTGGGTGACAAAGCAAGACTCTGTCTCAAAAAAAAAAAGAAAAATTCTACTCACCTTAAGTAGAAAGGAGAATTTATTAGCTCATATAATTTGAAAGTACAGAGGCAGCACTAACTTTAGGAACGGCGGGTGACCCAAAGGTACAAACACCATCAGAACTTGGTCTTACTGTTCCCATCTTTTGACTTTGCTTTCTACTTATTGGTAAATTCTAGGCTCATATCCTATTCTCTCAGCAACCGCAAGGCTCAAAGCATGCCTCTTTCTCAATAGTACAACAAAAAATTCAGTTACTCATGTGTGCTGACTGCAAAATGTGCCCACCTCTGAACAATCACTATGGCCAGAGCAATGGACTGTATACTCTTAGCTAGGCCTGAGCCATTGGCATACGCTATGTCAGGATGGGGTTCATATAACTGAGAGGGGTGGTTCTCTAGGAAAACTGGAGTAGGAGTATTGTTGCCAGAAGGGACTGAATGATGGTCTGGCAAAATTAACTGATGTCCCTTATACTCCAAAATTTTTTGCATACTGTCCACCACTGCCTAAAATAGCTTTCCTTCCTGTTTCTGGTTGCCGAAATCCAAGTTATATCCTTTCTGCTCCAAGTAGTCTTCAGTGATTTCTTCTAAGATTTTCCTCGTCCACTGATCCAGTCACCCATTCCCAAATATTCTTTTTTTCTAAGAGATTAATCTTTTTTTTTGAGACAGAATCTACTCTGTCACCCAGGCTGGAGTGCAGTGGCGTAATCTCAGCTCACTGCCACCTCTACCTCCTGGGTCCAAGCAATTCTCATGCCTTAGCCTCTCAAGTAGCTGGGATTACAGGTGCCCACCAATCACACCCAGATAATTTCTGTATTTTTAGTAGAGACGGGGTTTCACCATGTTGGCTAGGCTGGTCTGGAACTTCCGATCTCAGGTATCTGCCTGGCTTGGCCTCCCCAAGTGCTGGGATTATAGATGACAGCCTCCGGGCCTGGGCAGATTAACCTTTTAAAATAAACAGCACAGAAAGTCTCAAGAAAACATTCCCAATAAATTAACAATCATGTCTAACTGATTGGGTAATATATGCTGTTTCCTAGGATATATATTCAAAGGACAACAGCTCTACCATGTACATGCTATACATTATGGAAGAACAGTACATGAGGCGACTTTTATATGTTAGCATTCAAGCATTCAAATAATTTTACTTGGCTTTAAATTTTCTTTTCCTTTTTTTTTTTTTTTTAATCCATCCAAGTCTTTAGCAATGATAAATTTTCTATAAGGTCTATGCATACCTAGTAACTACCATAAGTCACTCCCAAATTAATCAAAATATCTGCTTATAAAAAAAGACTGTGGCTTTTGGAGTCACCTCAAATGAGACTAAATCCTGGCTAATACCCCCTTCTCTGTCCTTTAGCCACAGATCTTTGGGCAAAGTATTGAACATCTCTAAATGCTGGTTTCCACCATCAGTAAAAACAGAAATAGCAATACCTACTTAAAAAGAGGTCGCTTGGTAGAGCGGAAAGAACAGTTAGATGAACCTGGGCTGAAACTCTACCAATAATACTATATACAGGTAGTACCTATATGACTTCCTTTAAGTGATCCCTCACATGTAAAGTGGGGATAATATTTAATCCACAATTGTTGTGTGCAATTAACAAGGTACTGTATTTCAAAATATCTAACACAATGAATTGCAAATAGTGAATACTCAATAAATGATGTCATCAGCATTAAATTATCTGTTTAAAACAAAACAATTCAGATTGAATTTTTGTACCAATTAACAAGGTCTGCCAAAGATTTTTTTATACTTCATAAATGATATTACTACTTGTTAGAAATGAATGTAGTCTAATCGGTTATAAAACACCTTGTAATCTTTTAATTTTCTTTTTTACACTTTTTGGCCATATAAAAAACCAACAAAAAATTTGGTTTATAAAGAAACAAAGTGTGGGCAAAACCATACTTAAAAATTCAGAACACAGTAAGAAAAAAACCTCTTTGGTATTACTTATTATTCTTCATAAATGCACTTGGATTTTCTTAGTCAATCAAACATTTCTTAAGGACTCAAAATGTTGCTCCTAGAACTACTTAAAAGCAGGTGAGATAATGAGCTAGATAAGACTCCTGTAATCAACTTGTTCTTTAGCTTCAGGCTTGATGTAGTAACACTGCATTGACTCACACCAATACAAAATCATCACAGGGTAATATAGTCATCTCCTAAACAGAAGCAGGAAATTTGGGGTATGAATGATAATTTTAGATGCTGTCCACCAGAACACATACAAAAGGCAAGTGGCCGCTCATGTTTACCTTAGCAAAAAACCATAATTCACTAAAAAATATTCAATTCAACTGTTTCCAACAAGAGATTAAATGAGCAGGCATTTAACTTCTTCTATTTTATACTACAGCACAAGTTTCTTTGGAAAGAACAGTTTCGTGATTTAGTTCTGTTTACTTTTCCAAAATGAGTGAATCCTATGTAATACCTATCAATCTTTAATGAGTGCAAAGCATAGAAAACGTGCTCAGAGATTTTAAAATATGACACCAAGTACTGCAGGCCGCGGTGGCTCATGCCTCTAATTCCAGCTCTTTGGGAGGCTGAGGCCAGCAGATGGCTAAGCCTAGGAGTTCGAGACCAGCTAGGGCAACATGGCGAAACCTCGTCTCTACAACACCACAAAAAGTTGGGTGGGCGTCGTGGCGCGTGCCTGCAGTCCCAGCTACTCGGAAAGCTGAGGTAGGAAGATCCCCTGAGCCCGGAGGTCCAGGCTGCAGTAAGCAGTGATGACGGCACTGCTAACATGAACAATTCGGTCACCAGACACTCTTCCCTACAACTAAGAAAACCAAATAATACGTCGTTGCTTGTTCCCCTTCCTGTGTTCGAAAACATACAGAACACAAAGTAATGCTTTAAAAAGGAATAGCAATCATCTTTTTTTTTTTTTAAGAGGGAGTTTCGCTCTTCTTACCCAGGCTGGAGTGCAATGGCGCGATCTCAGCTCACCGCAACCTCTGCCTCCTGGGTTCAGGCAATTCTCCCGCCTCAGCCTCCCGAGTAGCTGGGATTACAGGCACGCGCCACCATGCCCGGCTAATTTTTTGTATTTTTAGTAGAGACGGGGTTTCACCATGTTGACCAGGATGGTCTCGATCTCTCGACCTCGTGATCCACCCGCCTCGGCCTCCCAAAGTGCTGGGATTACAGGCTTGAGCCACCGCACCCGGCCTCAATCATCTTTTTTAAGCAGTTTAATTCAACTTTTGTTTTTGGAGGACATGAGGAGCGGGAGAGGAAACTAACGGGAGTCAGAAGGTCGGTTCCAGTTATTTTCACAAGTGTATTTATTCTGTAAGGCAACTAGATGGAAGCGAAGAAAGAAGCTCCAGCGTTCGGGTTCAATTTAAACACACAAACACCCCGATCACGGTTCCATCGAAGCACACACAGCCGCCTCCACGCGCATTCACGCCCGGCTCCTCGCCTGCACCCGCACCCCGTCTGGCGTCTGCCCTCCCGGCCAGAGTCTCCAGGCACACACCGGCTCCTGGACGTCGGGGACCCGGCGGTGGGGCTCAGGCCACCACGGCCTGAGACTGCCCCCCCCAACCCCGGCAACCCGTCGGCTCGGCCTGGAGGCCGGGTCCCCGAAGTCTCTGGGGCCCCTACCCCTTCTAGCGAAGACGGTGACTCTTTTTTCCAATAAAATATTTTATGACCAAAAAAAAAAAAACAAACAAATAATACGTAGTTTCGAAAAACGGCAGGGCCGAGATCCACCCTTCCCCGGCACTGCGGCGCGTCCGGACACCCCCGCTGCTGTCCGGCGTGAAGCGCTCGCACCACGTCCCCGGCAGGGAAGGGCCATCGGGCACCCCAAATCCCAAAGGGCCTGCAGAGACCGAGGCGGGGCGCGGCTCCACCTCCGCCGTGGCCGAAGCCGACGTTCCTCGGACACACAGACGCCGCCATCAACCCCGTCCGGCCCCTTCCCCGCGCGGCGCCGCCGCCCGCCGCCCTCTCAGGCTCTGGGTCAGGCCCGCAGGCCGGAAGGCAGCTCCCCGTGACCCGGGTCCGGACCCGGAGCGTCGGGACCAGCTGCTCAAACTGCCCCGCACCCGCCCCCCCACCCGGCCCGCAGAGACGTTCCCGCCCCCGCCCCGCTCACCCGCCCGGGTGGTGTCCGTCAGGTCGTGGTTGGCAGCTCCCCGGGGAAACTCCCTCAGTTTCCGGCCGCTCAGGCTCAGCACCCCGGTGACCGCCGCCTCCTCCAACGCTCGGTCGAGAGAGCGGCTCCATGAGCCCGGGCCAGAACCAGGGCCGGCCCCGGAGCCTGCGCCGCAGTGAACACCGGGGAGGTTACCTCCGGACGCGACCGTGCCGGAGTACTCGGCAGCCGCCGCCACAGCGACCAGGCCCGCGGCCGCCATTTCCCAGCCGACGATGCTGGTCTGCCAGCTCGGCGCATGCGCGGCCGCACCGCTGTGTGGGCGGAGAAAGGGGCTGCAGACCCCGGACGGCTCCCTGACTGGTAGCGCGGCGGGGCCCCTCGGCGCACCCCGGCGACTGCCCCCGCCCACAGAATTCGCTTTTCAGGGGAAATTCAAACGCACCTCACAAATGCGGAGCTGCGCCTACTCTCACCTCCCGGGGGCATTGCTAAAATGCCTCCACGAAAACAGCTCTCAGGCAACGCTCCGCACCGAAACCCCCGCCTTGCGGAGAAGCGCAGGGTTACCCTAACCATTCAGTTAGGATTTTTTTTTTTTTCTGAGACGGAGTTTGGCTTTGTCACCCAGGCCGGAGTGCAGCGGCGAGATCTCGGCTCACTGCAACCTCCGCCTCCTGGATTCAAGCGATTCCCCTGCCTCAGCCTCCCGAGTAGCTGTGATTACAGGCGCCGGCCACCACGCCCGGCTAATTTCTGTGTTGTTATAGACGGGGTTTCACCGTGTTGGCCAGGCTGGTCTGGATCTTCTGACCTAGTGATTCGCCCGCCTCGGCCTCCACATTACCAGAGAGCTGGGATTACAGGCGTGAGCCACCGCACCCTGCTAGGATTCTTTCTTAACACTGTTGCTTCCAGAAACTTGCACGGTGAGAGGAGGGGACCCTCTGGGACGCGACCGAAACCATTTCCCAACTTCATTGTATTACCAGATGATTTGCTGGACTTAACTATGGTTGCTGGAGGGAAAAACACACGTGCTAATTGGGCTCAAAATTCTCACTGAAAACGTTCTATAAATATTTTATATCGTCCATCCCTTTTATAAAATAGCTCTTCTTAATGAAAATATAACAAATATCTTTAACAGTACTTGTCCTTCAGGCGAGATTTCATTGTTGTTGGATAAAGCAAGACTAGTATTAAAGTGTAAAATGTTGGTCTGGAAGCAAAACTGCGGAACAGAAAATGATCTGACCGTAATCTAAATGTGGGAATTAAAGGTAGAACCGACGAGATGCTCTGAATTGAAAACACTCAAGTAATGAAAGAGTAGAAAATAATTCATTTAAAACCAACTAGGCTTCACTTACATTGCAACCAGTCTCTAGCATATTCTTCAGCCTCTTTTACGGAAGACGCCATTTCTGCTTTATGATGTAAATTTTAGCAACAATTAATCAACCAGTATTTACTATGGGAAATAGAAGAGGCTGTCAGATACAATCCTTTTCCTAGAGGATTACAATCTGACTGTGGAATCCAGACAGGCCAATTCGAGAATGAGCCAGCCAAAACGGCATTGAGTAATGGGGCTTGCCTAGGTGATATAAAGAAAGCTATATCATGGATAAATTAGGTTTTGAATTAAACCTGAAGGGTTATAAAGTAGGACAGGCTACAAGGTGAGATTGGAAGATGGATCAGCATGAAAACATCCAGATAGGATTTATAGTGGTAATGTGGAGGATATGAAGGCCACAGATCAGAAAGTTAATGTCAGAGAGCAAAAGAAAAATAATGGTGGAGAGACCCTCTCATTCAAGCCCCAATTCTTCAGTGAAACCTCGATCAGCATTTCCCTGAATTGCTAAATGCTAGAAGTTGTAAAAATGTTTAATCTTAGTGCCAAAGTTGATTAGTAACAGCAGGCCAGAGAACTGTTCTATAAACTCTTTATACATTCTAGTTACTTCAGCAAGTTCCGCGATAAATTGTCAATATGTGGTTTGAGCATGGGCCCCAATGGCAGGTGATGTATTTATTTGTCAGCCCCAGCAAATAACATTTATCCAATGCATACATAGGTTTTTGTTAAACTAGGCTTCCTCAAATTGTTATTCTTCAGAAGATATTAAGCTATTTAAGAGCAGTGCTTTTGGCCGGGTGCGGTGGCTCAAGCCTGTAATCACAGCACGTTGGGAGGCCGAGGCGGGTGGATCACGACGTCAAGAGATTGAGACCATCCTGGTCAACATGGTGAAACCCCGTCTCTACTAAAAATACAAAAAATTAGCTGGGCATCGTGGCGCGTGCCTGTAATCCCAGCTACTCAGGAGGCTGAGGCAGGAGAATTGCCTGAACCCAGGAGGCGGAGGTTGCAGTGAGCCGAGATCGCGCCATTGCACTCCAGCCTGGGTAACAAGAGCCAAACTCCGTCTCGCGGGGCGGGGGGGGGGGGGGGGGGGGGGGGGGGGGGAGCAGTGCTCTTTATTTTTTTAAGGAGATTTCAACTACGACTGTCTATTCATATGTTCTGTGCTAATGCTACAATGCTATAGAATTAGTTGTCAGATGTACCTTTTCATATGCACCATTGTTATCGGATTGGATTGCACATCACCTTTCACATTTCCACTAAATTGTCGTTCTCTGTAATATGCCCTCATTCTGTCTACATGTATTAATACATCCCACTGTAATAACAACATATCATGCTAGCCCCGACCTGACCGAGTTTACAGATTGATGTTTGAATATTCAACAAGATGTTAAGGTCTTAATAAATTAAACTCTATGCTATCCTAGGGCTGAGTATATATATACTTTTTTTTTTTTTTTTTTTTTTTTGAGACGGAGTTTCGCTCTTGTTTCCCAGGCTGGAGTGCAATGGCGCGATCTCGGCTCACTGCAACCTCCGCCTCCTGGGTTCAGGCAATTCTCCTGCCTCGGCCTCCTGAGTAGCTGGGATTACAGGCACGCGACACCACGCCCAGCTAATTTTTTGTATTTTTAGTAGAGACGGGGTTTCACCATGTTGACCAGGATGGTCTCGATCTCTTGACCTCGTGATCCACCCACCTCGGCCTCCCAAAGTGCTGGGATTACAGGCGTGAGCCACAGTGCCCCGCCGTATATTTTTTAAAGTTAAAAAAATAAGCCAACCTTCGCTTGTGCCTATAATCCCAGCTACTTGGGAGGCTAAGGTAGGAGAACTGCTTGAGGCCAGGAGTTTGAGACCAGCCTGAGCAACATAGTGAGGGCACCCCACTTCCCACCTCCTAGTCTCTAAAACTTTTTTTAAGAATTAGCTGGGGCCGGGTGCAGTGGCTCACGCCTGTAATCTCAGCACTTTGGGAGGCCAGGGTGGGCGGATCACGAGGTCAAGAGATCGAGACCATCCTGGCCAACATGGTGAAACCCTGTCTCTACTAAAAATACAAAAATTAGCCGGGCGTGGTGGTACGTGCCTGTGGTCCTAGCTACTCAGGAGGCTGAGGCGGAAGGATCGCTTGAACCCAGGAGGCGGAGGTTGCAGTGAGCCGAGATTGCTCCACTGTACTCCAGCCTGGCGACAGAGCAAGACTCTGTCTCAGGAAAAAAAAAAAAAAGAAATAGCTGGACATGGTGGTGCATGACTGTAGTCCCAACTACTCATGAAGGTAGCGAGGTAGGAAGTTTGCTTGAGGCCAGAAGCCGAGGCTGCGGCAAGCTATGATTGTGCCACTGTGCTCCAGCCTAGGTGAGAATGACATCCCATCTCTAAAAATGAAAAATAATTTTAAAAAACAGTAAAAATGAGTGGAAAGCAGTAGAGACCAAAGACAGATTATGTACACACATAGGAGAGGTTGGGAGGAAAGAAAAAAGAATTACAATTTTTGGGCTTGGGCACTGTGGCTCACGCCTGTAATCCCAGCACTTTGGGAGGCCGAGGCTGGTGGATTACCTGAGGTTGGGAATTTGAGACCAGCCTGACCAACATGGAGAAACCCCATCTCTACTAAAAATACAAAATTAGCTGGGCATGGTGGTGCATGCTTGTAATCCCAGCTACTTGGGAGGCTGATGCAGGAGAATCACTTGAACCCAGGAGGCAGAGGTTACGGTGAGCCGAGATCACGCCATTGCACTCCAGCCTGGGCAACAAGAGTGAAACTCAGTCTCAAAGCACACACACACACACACAACAATTACAATTTTTAAGGAAAACAGGATTCCTAAATAAGTAGATATTTAAGGCCAAGTATGGTGGCTCATGCTTGTAATCCTAGCACTTTGGGAGGTGAGGCAGGCACATCACTTGAGGTCAGGAGTTCGAGACTAGCCTAGCCAAAATGGTGACACCCCGTCTTTATTAAAAATACAAAAGTTAGCCAGGCATGGGGGCGGGCGCCTGTAGTCCCAGCTACTCAGGAGGCTGAGGCACAAGAATCACTTGAACCCAGGAGGTGGAGGTTGCAGTGAGCCAAGATCACACTGTTGCACTTCAGCCTGGGTTGACAGAGCAAGACTCCGTCTCAAAAAATAAAGAAGAAACGTACGATATTTACAAGCCAAAAGAAGGGTCTGTGCATAGGGAGAGACCTGAAGAAATCATATATACTATTAAGTAAGAACAAGTCCTAGGTAAAGGAAGGATGGGAGGAAAGATAGATTAAGCAGTTAATGTTCAAACTTAAGGATTTGAGGCTTCAGCTACAAAGTAAAGGTAGACTATGAGGGAAATCTTTTTTTTTTTTTTGAGACGGAGTTTCACTCTTGTTACCCAGGCTGGAGTGCAATGGCACGATCTCGGCTCACTGCAACCTCCTCCTCCTGGGTTCAAGCAATTCTCCTGCCTCAGCCTCCCGAGTAGCTGGGACTACAGGCGCGTGCCACCATGCCCAGCTAATTTTTTTTTTTTTGTTTTTTTTTTTTAGACGAAGTCTCACTCTGTTGCCCAGGCTGGAGTGCAATGGTGTGATCTTGGCTCACTGCAACCTTTGCCTCCCCGGTTCAAGCAATTCTTCTGCCTCAGCCTCCCGAGTAGCTGAGATTACAGGCATGCGCCACCACACCCAGCTAATTTTTTATTTTTAGTAGAGACGGGGTTTCACCACGTTGGCCAGGCTGGTCTCGAACACCTGACCACAGGTGATCCGCCCGCCTTGGCCTCCCAAAGTGCTGGGATTACAAGCGTGAGCCACCACACCCGGCCAATTTTTGTATTTTTAGTAGAGACGGGGTTCCACCATGTTGACCAGGATGGTCTCAATCTCTTGACCTCGTGATCCACCCGCCTTGGCCTCCCAAAGTGCTG